TAGTGTTGTTACCATCCCCCCATCCCCCACCTATATAGTGTTGTTATATCACCCCGACCCCACCTACATAGTGTTGTTACCATCACCCCGACCCCCGCCTATATAGTGTTGTTACCATCACCCCAACCCCTATCTACATAGTGTTGTTACCATCACCCAAACCCCCACCTACATAGTCTTGTTACTATCACCCCATCCCCCACCTATATAGTGTTGTTACCATCCCCCATCCCCCACCTATATAGTGTTGTTATATCACCCCGACCCCCCCTACATAGTGTTGTTACCATCCCCCAAACCCCCCCCTACATAGTCTTGTTACTATCACCCCACCCCCCACCTATATAGTGTTGTTACCATCAACCATCCCCCACCTACATAGTGTTGTTACATCACCCTAACCCCCACCTGTATAGTGTTGTTACCATCACCCCAACCCCCACCTATATAGTGTTGTTACCATCCCCCATCCCCCCCCTACATAGTGTTGTTACCATCACCCCCCCCCCCACCTACATAGTGTTGTTACCATCACCCAGACCCCCCCCTACATAGTGTTGTTACCATCCCCCAAACCCCCCCCTACATAGTCTTGTTACTATCACCCCACCCCCCACCTATATAGTGTTGTTATATCACCCCGACCCCACCTACATAGTGTTGTTACCATCTTCCATCCCCCACCTATATAGTGTTGTTATATCACCCCGACCCCACCTACATAGTGTTGTTACCATCATCCCAACCCCCACCTACATAGTGTTGTTATATCACCCCGACCCCACCTACATAGTGTTGTTACCATCACCCAATCCCCCACCTATATAGTGTTGTTACCATTACCCCATCCCCCACCTACATAGTGTTGTTAGTTTGGAGAAAGCACATAAAGTTGTAATCAAACATTTAACTCAATATCAACATTTCTTTTCAAAAAGAATTGAATACACAAGTACCGTTGTGCATCTGTTTTAGATCATTTATCCCAGGAAAAGTTTGTTGATTGAAAAAATGTCCGTTCATGTGAATATCATGTTAAATAGAGAGACATACACAATATTTTAGTTCATTTTTCCACCCAAATCACTAAGTTTTGAAGGAAATTCTGACTTGCCTACAACATTTGTTTGTACAGAAGACGATGATGACGATGTGGAGGTGCTAGGGGAAGATGACGAAGATGACGATGATGTAGAAGCTGTAGAACCCGATGAAGGAGAAACGAAAGGAGAGTGATATAGTTGTTGCCATAGAAACACCACAGTGCTACACACTAAGGGATGTGAGAAGGACTTGTATTGACAGTCAGATCACAAATCACGACGGCATACAGGCCTCTATTGGCAGGAGGGGTGGGGGTAGGGAATTTCATCTCTATATAGGCATCATGAAGAAGGAATATCAACTCCGGACAGCTAATTTTCATTGACTGAAAAATTAATTTCTTCGTACCTGCTGTAAATCTGTTGCTTTTCTTGTGCCCTATATATGCATTAAATAACTGGTCTTACATTGCATGCTTTGTTTACTTCTTGCTTTCTTTAGCATCGTTTTAAATTTCTTTTTTTGTAAAGTTAGGTGGACAATATAATATATTCTTGTTAAAATTATTGTAATTGTAGCTGAACGATTTGGTGGGTCGCTTATACAATGACTAAATCTAACATTTTGCTGTAAATACTGCCATATAGCTTAAGTTCATTGTGTAGTTTTCTTGTCAAGGATTTTTTTGTACTTTTTATATGTACAATATTTTCTATTTTAATTTTTCCTTTAAAAGTAGGGCCAATTTTTGAGTGATTGGAACAGTGTACCTATATCCTATAAACACATTTTGCTGAAAACTCCGACAGAATTGAAGACATACCTTGACCAAAGTATGTACCTAAAGACACCATAACTTTGAAGAAATGTCCTAAAATGTCAGTCCTTAAAATTACGACAATATTCATTTTTAACAAACACTAATTCAGTATGGTTTTCATCAAGAAATAGTGAAATTTTTGAAGAACAAAAATTGTTCTTAAAGAATGGTTAAAATCTCTCACAATAAGAGTTCTAAAACTATTTCATAACATGGTAATTTATGAGGAAAGTTGATGAGTCAAAATGAACATAAAATGAGAGGTGTAAAATGACCTTGCATCTGTTAATTCAGACTTTCCAGATGAATCCAAACATCTTGTAGTAGTCAAGGTAATTGCCCGTCTCAATAGGGTCAAACTGTTCCGTCCACTTCATAAAGCAAACATTTCTAAGAAACATGACAACAATGACATTACATGGTTGCTATCAAAACAATAATTTAACGGGCAATATGTATGAATTTAACATTATCTTATGTGTTTCTAAGATCTTATACAGATATGTTATAAAAGGTAACCCAGGATTTGTGAATTTATTGAAAGTCTAGTTTTAGTCCATACCAGATATCAAAGTCTGTCTTGGGGAAAATTGTATATACATGTTAACAAGTGGATGAAGATTACAGCCCCAAATTTATATTTAGTATTGGCTCAAGAGGTATTTTGATAAGATGTCTAAATCTCCCCTAAAAACTATCGACAGCTATGCTCTTTGATATTGCTACAGCACTTATCTCAAAGATCAAATCAAATATATTGGTTTGTGTTTTTGGTCATCTCTGATTGCAAAAATGTGAAAAACAAGTGCTACAGAGAAACTACATTTTCAGGTTTGAGAGTAATGTAATTTTTATGTTCTTTTTATATATTCACAACATAAACACCCAAATCGTCATAGATTATAAAAAGTTCATGTTTAACTCATTTACCCCTGAAGACACATTTGAACTCTTCCAATTCAAAGGTTGGAATAGTTCATTATGAAAACAGGGGTGAATGAGTTAACTTCATCAGCACAAAAGGTGATATTATCTTTGTCATGTGCCATTTATCGTATTCAGATTTCATTAATATTGGGACGACAGCCGACATTTGGTTTTTGATATACTTGTTTTTTGTCCAACCATCATGTTATAAAACCCATCAAGAGAGCATTAAGCCAAGCCCATTTCCCTAGGATTGGTATCTTGTAAATTGTAAGCACATTTTTTTGTTCCAATTTGTTTGTCATTGATAAGATTTGATTCTTCCTTATATAAAACTGTCGGAATGGGACGACTCCCAAGATATTCCAAAATCATCCATACTTCAAACTGTTTTGTTAATCTCTGAAAATGCCCATTATTTTTTTCACTAATTGTTTTATAAAGTACCTCATTATTTATCAAATTCTTTTTAATCTGGAAAAAATGAATTATCTGAGGTTTCCCATTCTGACAGACAGTAGGTATTTCTTAACATCATTTTGTGGTTTTATATTAAAACCAGACATCAGAATTCAACAATCAACTGTTATTAAGGACATTTAGTTCTGCAGGAGTAAATGGAAAATCTTTCTGCCATATTATGGGGCCCATCCCAGCAACAACTATTAGGGAACCCTATTTGTTTTCTCTTCCCCATTTATACATTATACTTGTAAATAAGGCACTATATATGTGGTGAACATTATATTGTTTGTAAAAATTAATGTAATTTTAAACCATTGAATTTGTTAATATGAAAAATTATATACATAGAAAATGTCGTGTGAATATAACTATGTAGTTAAAGATACTTGGACCAATGTAGTGTTATGGTGCATGGTAAAGCTTGACCGGTATCTCCATCATCTCACTGATCATGACCTCCGCTTATTTCAGTCGTTAATGAGTTTTGATGATTTACCAAGTTCTGTAGAAAGTTGTCTCTACTGGAACAAACTGGTAATTAAATGTATACATAAAAAATACACATATCTAATTGCTGTTGTCATTGTGATTGATTTTTATTTTCAAAGACAATTTTCACTAAAGGACCATCCATCAACCAAACCATGGAACATTTTTAAAGATCTTCAGATTATGTTAAATGAGGATTAATTTAGTTTAAAAACTTTAAAACTTCAAACTTTTCAAAGTTTTATGCTGTCAATAAATGGTGATCCTTTTGAGTTTTTGAATATTCACATTCTATCGTAAGATTTAAAAATTAAGAAATCATCATTCATGTAAACCTTGAATCATTGCACAAAACCTGTACTTGCATTTTGTAGGGTTCAAAATTATCAGCTAGAAGATACCAAAAACAAGAGAAAAAATCTCATTATTCAGATGATGTCAAATTCAAATTTTAATAATGAGTTCTGTTTTTTTAACCATTAAAACACAGCAGTTTTTTGAAGTCTCGTACAAAATGTTGGTGATTAAATTCCTTTATTTACCCAATGATACTGGTTAAGCCTGATCATGTGTCCTAGCCTTGTGGCCTACTGGGATGAATAGAACTTCTTTCTTCCTTGTGTTTTAATTAGAAAATTACCATTTTAAAGTTTGAAGAGGTAATTCATTATATCACAAACAGGACTGCTTAGGTAAACAAATTATTTTCAAAATGAAAAATTTATTTCAAACCCAAATCAATTAAATTCAATTTTCATCTCGGGTTGGCATTCATTTTAATTGTTCACCTGAAAACTAGGTTCAAATTGGTTCTTTCCAAATCATTTCTTCATTGAATGGGAAGGACTCGGCATGATTGAGAAGAGTTCTCTTTTCCTGTCTAGGATTTTAAAGGGCTGAAAGGTTTTCTACAGAGTGTCTTGTGATCTCTCAATGTTCTGCATTTCAAAAAACACCTGAAGTGCTAGGTTATACTTAGTCATTGTTTCATTATTGATGGAAGATCTCGACAACATTAAAAGGATGATAAAGAAGTTGATATTGGTGTCTTTTTGTTTGTTCATCATGTTAAGGACTGTTCCAGTAAAACATCTATCTGATCCAGTAAAACATCTATCTGATCAAGTAAAACATCTATCCCATCCAGTAAAACATCTATCTGATCCAGCAAATCATCTATCTATCTGATCTAGTAAAACATCTTTCTGATCCGATCCAGTAAAACATCTATCTGTCTGATCCAGTAAAACGTCTATCTGATCCCTAGACTCCAAAGATAAATCACCGACACGTTTTTCCTGTTTATTACATCTTTGCCAATTATTTATTTAATTCTATACGTGGTACATCTAAACAAAACCTCGAGTCCTGAGGTGGGGTTGATGTGTTACTGGAATGGCCCCTATAATGGACAGTATAGCGACCATCCTATGTATCATTATACCAGTCACAGATTTGTTAAAACTTGGAACTTGCCTCTCATTCGGTTTTGCAGCAATATTTACCAATATATAGGGAACTGATTAATTGAGAAATGTCCATATGGTAGTAACCAAAGAGTGTGGGAGAGAAAGTCTCGGTAAAATCTCTCGGATGAGAACATTTCAATTGATGATTGAACCTAGGTATTTAATCAAACACTTAATACCAAATGACACAGAATAATTCTCTTGTTTTTCATATTATTGAAACAAGATATATTTCACTGAAATGTATACAAGTTCCTTAAAATCTGTTCAGAAATTCACTTATTTAAGTATGAATTATTCTACAGAACAGAACTGCACTTCCATTATACAACCTTTTTGGAATTGAAAAACCAAAACCAAATGATACAGGTGAATAATTATATTATTATTACATTACTCTACACTGTATAGTGAATAAAATGAAAACAAATAACACTATCTTTTATTGCAAAATTCTCAAAATACAGTTCATTCAATAAATTCATACTAGCCTCCTAACAAAGGTAAAATTACAAGAAGAAACTCGTATCAGGAAATACGAATGATTATGGCACAACATGCAGTGTATGAACTGATGTACTTCCTTCATATTCAGTATGAAGCACCTCTAATAGGACTTTATTTTATTCTACATGAGTGCCTGTAACATATATAGTATTGGGTGATAACACCAGGAATATTCTACATCAGAAGCAGAATTGATCTATACTTAGTTAAAAAAAAATATGCCTTAATCTCTGATGTTATTCGAAAAAAACCAGCATAATGTAATCGGGGAAATATTCTCCAATTTGATTGAACATAGAACATCTAGAATTTGCTTGAAACCACTTGACAAGTGTTGTACCAGTACAATAAGAAATGACTTGTGAAATCCATGCCAAGTATTCATAATAACTAAAATACAGAAAACAGCAGAATTTTACAATAATGGGTTTTACTTACAGTAATGGTTTAATTGCGACTTATTTTTTAACCAAGGCCATAAGTGAAGAATGTGACATTGACAGGCTTTTTTTGCTATTTTTTATAAGAAAACGCATTACAGTCGAACATCAGATATGATAGGTTTGATATTAAAGACATGTATAGCTGTATACATGTCTACAAATTCAGTTTCATGCAATTTTCAGTTGTTTTACTTAAGTGATGGACATACCACATCTTTATCATCACCTCAGACTGTCAACAGCATAAGACAAATGACACTAAAAGATCATTGTTATTAATGTAAATAACACAAGTAATGGAGACCTCCAATAAGTATTCCTTCATTTGGTATCAAACATTTTTTCCTGTTCTATAGGGAAAATTCTTCAAAAAAAAATAACCTAATTATATTTACTAGATGAATAAAAAATATTTTTTTTTATAAAGAATAAGAGGCCCATGGGCCTCAATGGTCACCTGAGTTCTGATATATTTATACAGAGAGTTGATTTTTGTTTTTAAAATATGTACAGAAATATTATTCAAAGTGACAAAAAACAATAAAACCACCTTATTCAATATCTAGCATACAGATTTAAGACTGAAAGGATTTGAAACTAGCACCCCTGATTCTAAACAAGGAAAATGAAGAAATTTTAGCACACTGACTCCTTTGGGCCCCGCCCTACAGCCCTTGGGGGTAGGGCTGGCTTAAAAAAACCTTCCATCTATGAAGAGTATTTGATTCTATAATATCTGGGTCTTGAGAAGATTTTGAAATTTCAGTCAATTTGACCCTTTTTGGCCCCGTCCCTTAGGCCCCTGGAGGCTGGGGACCATATAATTCACAATTTTAGTTGACCTTTGGCCATGGAAGGTTTCTGCAAAATTTCATTGAAATATGAGCAGGGGTTTTGGAGAAGATGTCGAAAATATAAATTGTTTACAGACGGACGACGCACGACGCCGTACAAAAGGCGATCGCAATAGGTCACTTGAGACTTTGTCTCAGGTGAGCTAAAAATGGTGGAACAGCCACGTATATTCAAGCTTTGATGTTTTTTTTATAAAATTTGACAGAAATTGCAATGACTGCAATAGCATAATCATATGTACCACATTCATGTTTTGTTTCTAAAATACAACGCTTGGAAAAAACAAAATGCTGTGCTTCATAAATATGCTAGTAACTGGGATATGTGTAGAAAATATAAATATTTAGTAACCTTTTTGTGTGAAAAGAGTAGTCAGCATTAATATGGACCCTCTTCGAATAAGAGGATTAGCAATATTGAGAGAATCTCAGTACGGGTGTTGGAGTTATCTCCCTTGAAAATTATAAATTATTACTCAAGGATATCACTTACATAAATAAAACAACACTCCTCATCACAACAGGGACATTCTTTACATTAAGGGGATCTAAAAATGTATATTCAAGGAATCTTGTAAGGGAAAAACATATATTTCCATACAAAAAAATCTCTTTAAATTTCCTTATTTTCAAAAGATGGATTGATCGCAAACCAAAACAAAAACTGCTTATCCTTGATTTCATTAAATTATAATCAGTGCCTGAAGTTTAGAAAAGGATTAGATATTTAGAAGGATTTGTTCAAAGTTATATCCCATGAACATATTAAGCTAACATTATAGAAATACCAGTAGTTATTGATGCGTTTATATTACCATAATGAGTCACAAATTCTTTAAATTTACATCCAAATAACAATTTAAAACTGTCTTCGGTTGGACTCTTCTTGTAAAGCGATCAATGTTATATCACACAGTAAGGTAGCATACATCCTTAATTATATGGTCACACTCATCCGTATCTCACTATAGAAAATAAAAGTCACATGGAAGGAAAAAACAACATCAAATGATATATTGGAATGTTTATTTGTATTTAAATATCTCTTATTAATTACTGTGTATTTCGTCTTTACGTATTGCAGAGTTATCTTCTCTTGTGAGCAGGTATTGATTGTTACATCAATGGTTTGTGTGAAAAAATTACGTCGTTTTCTCAAAAATAGATGACGTTATTCTCACAAACCAATGAAGTAACAATCAATACCTGTTCACAAGAGAAGATAACTCTGCAATACGTAAAGACGGAATACAGCCTTGTGACTTACTTATTTATGGGCAGTTCTAGATTTTTCTCAGTGATGTTTGATACCAGTGTACCAAAGCATCGCAATAACATGGAGGAACACAATTATTTGGAGGGATCAATTCTAGTTCGATTAAAATCACATTTTGCTATTTAAGTCTTGTCTGTAAACAATCTATCATAAACATGACGATAATTGTTCTAAATTTCATCACAATAATAGTCACATTGTCTACAGGAAACGTGAATGTACGTATTCCATCTTCATTGATCCTCGTCAACGATTCAGATGGAAATATTGAGGTGGCAATGCTCAGATGTATTTATGCTATATACAACATACACTAAGAGGCAACACATCAACTACTTTTCACTAATGACTGACAGACCCATAGACTTATAAGCCTGTAGTCGTGTGTATAGATCCTTTTATTTTAAACGAAAAAATCTCTGAATTCCGATTCACGTCACATGATATGGCACTTACAAGTAAAGATGCAGGTGTGATGTCACTTATGTAGCTCAAAAATATGTTATCACTACAATCACTGCAGCACAATACCACAATATCATCAATAGGATGTTGATATCTCTCAAAAAAATCACATGTACGGTTGAGTCGAGGACACTTGCCCTCCACTCTTCTACGGGGTAATACATACCTAAATTGTCAGTTGGAAATCATTGCCATTGATTTTCATAAGTGCTATACAGACTAATAAATACTACACTGACGATGTTGCAAAAAATATGTACGTACACCCAAACCTATAATTAAAGACCATCTGAAGGAGATCCAAAAGTGATCGCTTAACACAAGTAGTCTTTTTAATACAGGTTCGGTTCACAATGAAACGACAACAATTGGAAACATACATATAAGTGGTCCTGTAACACGATGTGCTTCTAATAGAGTTGTCACACAAACAGACTGGTATTCCTCATATACAGGTAGATCAAGTTGGTATGAGCCTTTGATTTATTGTAGCCAATAACCCCTTTACTTTGCCTCAGGATTAAATATTGTACAAATTAGATTAGAATGATACGTTTACGTAAACACAATTTATTGTTGCTGTTTTTTCTTCTTTAAAAAATTCAAATTCATCCATTAAAAAGTAATGCTGTGGGAATCAAAACTATCTCCTGAAGATGAGGATAACAAAAATGTTTGTTGACATTAAGAAAATCTTGGGGAAAAAAATCCTTTATATTTTAAATACAAGGTAATGACTTATTAACTAAAATTGTACAACCAGCTAATTATGCTTTTGAAATACTAGGCCCTCCTTGACTATAGGCTGCATCTAGGTCAGATTATATCAAAAGCTACCCCTGGGTCAGACATTTCAAGGCTCCCCTGGGTCAGATATGTCTTCAGATACCCCAGAGTTGAATGCATCCTAGACTTCCCCAGGGTCACATATATTCTACACTTCCAAGGGTCGGATATATCCCCAACTGCCAATGGGTTAGGTGTCCCAAAGGCTGCCCTGGGGTCAGATCCTGGGGTCAGATGTATCCCAGGTCCTTGATGGACCCCATACCCTGTATGTGAACATCTGGACTTGTGTCCAACTTAGTGAGATCTTGAGTCGTTGTAGATGTTGATGAATTTAAGCATGTTCGTTTAAAACGGGCCAAAAACCCCTCACTCTGGCTCCGTGGAAGGCTTGAACGGACTTCTGAAACACCCAAACAATTAATATCAATACAACTATAAGTTATTAACAACATAAACAATGCATTCTGTATATTTTCCAATGTCAAAATTAACCCTTCTTACTCGTTAAGGACATGCCACAGGAATTGCAAGGAAATTGTTGAGAAAATAAATTGAAATATTCTGACTACCAGTAAATTTACCTTGAACTTTGAACTTAAATGACTTGTTTTTTAACTTTAAATTTAAGTGTTTAAGATGCTGTCTAAGAGCTTTGTTTCTGTTAGTTTCATGAACTTTTTAGAATTTTAAAGAAGTTATCTTTTTAAAAAAAATCCCATCTCAAAGTGAATTTTTGTGACCCTGGCCTTTAAGATATGACCTTAAAATAATTTAACCTTTTTAATGGCAGATCTAACATAGATTACCGTACTAGGTTAGAGAAATGTGCAGAGGACAGAGAGATATAGTAAAAACGTTGCACAATATTTCTTAGAATTAATCTTTAATAAGATCGTTGACCTTGACCTAGGGATCTCAAACTTTTTTGTCTTACACTGAAGATATGTACATCACTATGGAATGTTTCATTAGTGTAAGATGAGGGGTTGCGAAGATATTAAAAAGAAGCATATCAAATGCGGAACCTTGGTGTACATCTAAAAATAAAATTTTCAAAACAGTCATATAAATTATTTCAAGATAAATCAGGAATGATACCAAGTTTATTGAAAAGGCATGCACTTTGTAAAACATTTAAAAACAACAATATTTTGAAAGAAAAAAGAAAATTGAAAACTACAATCAATTGCTAGAAAAGAAGTTTGACCTTTTACATAACAAAATTGCACATCAGCAACATCACCACATTTACAAAAAAATAAAAATACCTACCTGGTTCTTGGTTTCCTAACTGCCACAAAATAACTACATTAAGCTTTGAAGCACTGAAACCAGACATTGGAAATAAATACCTGAGGTAAATATACACAACATTTACAGGTAGAGGTGGATCAATGCAGGTGAAGGTGGGGCTCAGACGCATAATCTCCAATATACCTGCCAGTCTTTTAATTTGTACTAATATTTTGGAATATGATTTCTTTCACACAAGTTTTCTTTCTGAGTTATGCACAATTTTGAAACTGTATAGACCCAAAGGGAAACCATTTGTTGATCCCCCACATCTGTGAATCACAACATATTCAGCTTGTTATGATGTCAAACGTAACAAGAGTATGATGCCATGAATTCACAATAAAAGCCTGAAATGATGCTCTTAGTCATTCTTTGACTTAGCGTTGTTCTAGATACCAGTATGTGGGAAGTTACCCTGGTATGATGACCGAACCAGAAAATAACCCCAACACACATTCGGGTGGTAGGGTTTACTTGAAGTGTTCCCCTCCCCCACGACACACATTCGGGTGGTAGGCTTTACTTGAAGTGTCCCCCTCCCCCACAACACACATTCGGGTGGTAGGCTTTACTTGAAGTGTCCCCCTCCCCCACAACACACATTCGGGTGGTAGGCTTTACTTGAAGTGTCCCCCTCCCCCACAACACACATTCGGGTGGTAGGCTTTACTTGAAGTGTCCCCCTCCCCCACAACACACATTCGGGTGGTAGGCTTTACTTGAAGTGTCCCCCTCCCCCACAACACACATTCGGGTGGTAGGCTTTACTTGAAGTGTCCCCCTCCCCCACAACACACATTCGGGTGGTAGGCTTTACTTGAAGTGTCCCCCTCCCCCACAACACACATTCGGGTGGTAGGCTTTACTTGAAGTGTCCCCCTCCCTCACAACACACATTCGGGTGGTAGGCTTTACTTGAAGTGTCCCCCTCCCTCACAACACACATTCGTGTGGTAGGCTTTACTTGAAGTGTTCACCTCCCCCACAACACACCATATATTGATTTCTAAAATAGCTCTTGTATCAAGAAAATTTCCCTTATTCATAGAATTCGAACTTGAATTGCATCTACAGTGAAGTCCAGTTGCGATTGTTACGAATGTACTATGGCTTTGTCCAGCAGTGGTGCCCGGCGCCAGACTTATAATAGAGCACAAGTTCAGTCACATCCAGTGATAGCGGTGGCCTTACACATCCATACGATACAACTTCAGGTACGCCAAGTAGTGACGGTCATAAACATACACAACAGCAGTACTGACCACGGAAATACAGCATAACGTGGAAGTTTTGTAACTGAAGCTCAATGCTTTAAGCTTGTATCTTTGTTTTAATAATCGGCTACATTGGTAAGCTGAAAAACTCAAAGGTCAGAAAGGTCAAAATGTACTACAGCAAACTCAATACACCAATAGCTAGACGACAGGTAGCAAAGAGAAGAAAAAGAAAAAGGTCAAAGGAAAAATGTCAATGAATACATTTTATTATAAAATAAATTGCAAATATGTGCACTAACAACATGTATAACAATATCATAATATTTTACATTGGGAATCATACCATAGCACTTCAACATAAAGCTATGAAAATAATAATCTATTCTCAATGCTTTTTGACATTTTGGCCTCACAAAGATGCTTTGTGTATTATTTGATTATAATCAAAAACATGATAATCTATAATTACAGATGCTTTATATATTATTTGATAATTATCAAAAACGTGATAATCTTTTATTAATACATTAATACTTTTCTCTCATAACCACTTTAGGTTTCCTTACTTCTGAAGTACAGGATTAAACAGGCAAATTGTTGAATAAACTTGGAGCATTTTCATTGGTTAAAATACAGGTCATGACCTTTACATGAAAGACTCTGTGTGACCATACGATACCGGTAATACAATGTTTGTGACATTATACTAGAATTGTGACTTTATAACTTGATGTGTATTTTTCACATTATAAACTGAATATTTGTGCACGGAATAAGTTTTTTCAGACATACAATTAAATTAATGGGAGACAGAGAAAACAGGTATCTGATTGGCATTGTTTGGTTATCATGTTTATCTAACTACTTGTTAGAAATTTTGAAATACAAAACATCTTGTGTTTCTGTAAACCTTAAAATTAAGCCACTTTAGCTAGATAGACATGACAGATATCACTCATTGGGACACTATTATATATTTAATACATACACTGTTTTTCTCCTTTAAACTCAAACAATGGAAAGATGAAGTTAACTATTTCAAAAACAGATAGTGTTTACCATTGTTTTGATATATAAAGGTACATCCCTGAAACACCCCTATGGAATTCACATAGACTATCACATCTACTCCATCAAAATAGGCAAAAGAAATACATTACAGGCAAAAATGAAACAGAAACATAAAATGGGGGACTATTTTTTAAATTTTTGAAGGATACCTGTTTTAGGAACAGGTTCTTGTTCTGCAGCATCACAACCAATAAGGTTTTTCTGTCGTAAGTTGATGATGGAATCGGCAATAATGCGTGCCGTGGTTTTCTGGTAGCCTCCACTGGTCACCATGAATATGGGAATCCCGCGGGAGTGTGCCTTCGTAAATACTATCTGGTCCCGCTCGATGATTCCCTGGTAATACAAAACAAGGTCAAGAATTAACATGCCGTGTAAACCGGACAGAATGCCCCTGCTATACAGTAAAACCTGTTTAAACTGACCATCATAGTAAGGCACTGGAACTGTTATATACAGTAAAACCTGTCTAAACTGACCACCGTTGTAAGGGACTGTGATTGTTATATACAGTAAACCCTGTCTAAACTGACCACCATAGTAAGGTACTGGAATTGTAATATACAGTAAAACCTGACTAAACTGACCACCATAGTAAGGTACTGGAACTGTTATATACAGTAAAACCTGTCTAAACTGACCACCATAGTAAGGTTCTGTGACTGTTATATACAGTAAAACCTGTCTAAACTGACCACTGTAGTAAGGAACTGAAACTGTTATATACAGTAAAACCAGTCTAAACTGACCACCATAGTAAGGTACTGGAACTGTTATATACAGTAAAACCTGTCTAAACTGACCACCATAGTAATGAACTGTGACTTTTATATACAGTATACAATTGTTTCATGGCTATTTGGGGAACAGTCAAAACTATCATCCCAAAGTAGGGGGAAGCCCTTGGGAACTGTTTAACCGCTAGACTGAGGGCAAATAGTTCCACAGGGCTTCCCCTACCGAGGGATGATAGTTTTGACTGTTTCCCAAATAGCATTGAAACAATTGTTTTATTACCAAATACATATTAGTATTAGTATTACTAAACCTATTTGCCATTGCTTTGTCTGCTTATACAACACTAAATCGCAGTCACCGAAACGCTTGAACGCGGGTCTCTCGTGTGAAGATTTCTGTGCATCAAATTCGCGCCGGGTAACAGTTAGCTCTGACCGGGAAAACAGTTCTGACTGTTTCACCCCGACAACCAAAATTGGACAAAAAGCCAGAAACAGTAAAAGTTGTGTAAATTGTAACTTATATAGACTATTGGGTTATAATATAACTTGTCTAGACTGACCTGCAGGAAAATATTTTTGTTCACAGTACACAAGTTTTTGAATAACAAAGGTTCTATTTTGGGCCGAAGATGAAGGTCTTGTCAGGAAAATATACAGAGTTCTATTCAGGATTAGATAGGATTTATAGAGTACAGTTGGTTTACTATCTACAGTAAAGCAGGGAATGATTTAGAGTTCAGTGCAAGTATAATCTCTGCATTAAACCAAATCCTGTGAATGAATAAAAACCAATCAATTAAACTCAGACCTCTGAAGACTACTTCGTTAACTATACTGTGAGAAGTGAAGGTAGCAAAGCAGTTTGAGAGATCTGACTTAAATCAAATTCTTCCAAATTAATGTATATTAAATATTCACTATGAAAACCGATCATCATCCAGGGTTGATTTCACCATTAACATGTTATTACTATGTATGGTAAACCGTGTAATAATATTCAATATCATCATAACTTTGCCATCATTGAAAAAGACACAAAAAATAAAAGGCAGTGAATATTTCCCATTTTACAGTATACATATAGTGACCAAACTCATTGATATTTCTATGTCTTAGAATTACTACTTAACTGGTGTAGAGCTAAAATACACTCGTTAATCAAAAGGTTCAACATAATATAAACATATACTCATATCATAAAATGTATTACAGAAAGAGAGAATTGAAACACAGAAACTACAAGGTTGTCAGAAATGTCAAGTGTGGTGTAAAGGATGGTATGGATATGTACCTCTGGTGTGATTGACAGATTGCCAAGGGGGTCCCCTTCCAGAATATCTGTCCCTGCATTGTACACTATGATGTCGGGGGTAAACTCGTTCAGCGCCTGGTCCAAGTTTCTGTAAAACACATCAAAATGAGAGCATCCTTTAGAATTAATTAGATGTAACAGGGTAGAACTGTTCCTTTGAGTGTCATACTCACAATCTGTCCTTTAGAACTAATTAGATGTTACAGGGTAGAATTGTTCCCTCGAGTGTCTTACTCACAATCTGTCCTTTAGAACTAATTAGATGTTACAGGGTAGAACTGTTCCCTCGAGTGTCATACTCACAATCTGTCCTTTAGAACTAATTAGATGTAACAGGGTAGAACTGTTCCCTCGAGTGTCATACTCACAATCTGTCCTTTAGAACTAATTAGATGTAACAGGGTAGAACTGTTCCCTCGAGTGTCATACTCACTATCTGTCCTTTAGAACTAATTAGATGTAACAGGGTAGAACTGTTCCCTCGAGTGTCATACTCACAATCTGTCCTTTAGAACTAATTAGATGTAACAGGGTAGAACTGTTCCCTCGAGTGTCATACTCACAATCTGTCCTTTAGAACTAATTAGATGTAACAGGGTAGAACTGTTCCCTCGAGTGTCATACTCACAATCTGTCCTTTAGAACTAATTAGATGTAACAGGGTAGAACTGTTCCCTCGAGTGTCATACTCACAATCTGTCCTTTAGAACTAATTAGATGTAACAGGGTAGAACTGTTCCCTCGAGTGTCATACTCACAATCTGTCCTTTAGAACTAATTAGATGTTACAGGGTAGAACTGTTCCCTCGAGTGTCATACTCACAATCTGTCCTTTAGAACTAATTAGATGTTACAGGGTAGAACTGTTCCCTCGAGTGTCATACTCACAATCTGTCCTTTAGAACTAATTAGATGTTACAGGGTAGAACTGTTCCCTCGAGTGTCATACTCACAATCTGTCCTTTAGAACTAATTAGATGTTACAGGGTAGAACTGTTCCCTCGAGTGTCATACTCACAATCTGTCCTTTAGAACTAATTAGATGTAACAGGGTAGAACTGTTCCCTCGAGTGTCATACTCACAATCTGTCCTTTAGAACAAATTAGATGTAACAGGGTAGAACTGTTCCCTCGAGTGTCATACTCACAATCTGTCCTTAACAAGAAGCATTGACTCACTCTCACTTACATGATGCTGACACAATTTAGTTATGTTGGAACCTGAGCAAAGCATAATATAACATAGTAATAAGGGAGATAACTCTGTGAGGCTTAACCATTTGTACTGGAGTTGTATGAAACCAGCAGGGAGTGAGGTTTTGTTTGAAGGTAATACACAAAGCACTACTGTTTAGAGACTCTTGAATCAGGGCTTTAAGTGTATGAAGGTAATACACCAATGCAAGCACTACTGTTTAGAGGCTGTTGAATCAGAGTTTTGAGTGTATGAATGCAATACACCAAGCACTACTTTTAGAGGCTGTTGAATCAGGGTTTTGAGTGTATGAATGCAATACACCAAGCACTACTTTTAGAGGCTGTTGAATCAGGGGTTTGAGTTTATGAATGCAATACACCAAGCACTTCTGTTTAGAGACTGTTGAATCAGGGCTTTACAATACACAAAGCACTACTGTTTAGAGACTGTTGAATCAGGGCTTTACAATACACAAAGCACTACTGTTTAGAGACTGTTGAATCAGGGCTTTACAATACACAAAGCACTACTGTTTAGAGGCTGTTGCATCAGGGTTTTGAGTGTATGAATGCAATACACCAAGCACTTCTGTTTAGAGACTGTTGAATAAGGGCTTTCCAATACACAAAGCACTACTGTTTAGAGGCTGTTGAATCAAGGTTTTGAGTGTATGAAGACAATACACCAAGTACTACTGTTCAGAGACTGTTGAATCAGGGTTTTGAGTGTATGAATGCAATACACCAAGCACTACTTTTAGAGGCTGGTGAATCAGGGGTTTGAGTGTATGAATGCAATACACCCAGCACTACTTTTAGAGGCTGTTGAATCAGGGGTTTGAGTGTAGGAAGACAATATACCAAGCACTACTGTTTAGAGGCTGTTGAATCAGAGTTTTGAGTGTATGAATGCAATACACCAAGCACTACTTTTAGAGGCTGTTGAATCAGGGTTTTGAGTGTATGAATGCAATCCACCAAGCACTTCTGTTTAGAGACTGTTGAATCAGGGCTTTACAATACACAAAGCACTACTGTTTAGAGACTGTTGAATCAGGGCTTTAAGTGTATGAGGGTAATACACCAATGCAAGCACTACTGTTTAGAGGCTGTTGAATCAGGGGTTTGAGTGTATGAATGCAATACACCCAGCACTACTTTTAGAGGCTGTTGAATCAGGGGTTTGAATGTATGAAGACAATACACCAAGCACTACTGTTTAGAGGCTGTTGAATCAAGGTTTTGAGTGTATGAAGACAATACACCAAGTACTACTGTTTTATTTTAGTTTAAGGTTCTTGATAATTATATTTTACTTCTGCATTTGATCAATTGAATAATTACATGAAATAACTGTTTAAGATTATTTTTCTTGTTAAGTTACAGTGAAACCTGACTTAACTGACACCTGGGCAAAGTTATTAATAGCCTGATTAATTTAGCACATATTTCCTCTTGTTTACTTAAAAAAACCACAAAAAAACATTGAAATTCAGAATTAAACCTAAATGTAACGAAATACAAAATGATTTCCAATAGACAAATACAATTTGTAGATTTTCAGATATTTCTCAAAAATAATTGAGTTATTTAGACCTTGAAATATCCAATCCTCCTTCAATATCAGGTTTCAGTGTATAGATAAAATGTCATACTTCAATTAAAACATAGAAATCAGTTCAAATCTGGCTTCATGATTAAATTTTGTACATGAACAGATAATATACTTTACCTATCTACAAGACCAAGGTAAGTGACATCTTCTGTAAAATGCTGTAGCTCAACTTTTCTTTTGATTGCTCCTGTAATATAGATAAAAGTATAGTAGAGAACTACACCTCATTAACCCATTCACCCCTAAAGTCACATTTGAGGCTTACCACATCAAAGACTGGGTAAGTCCAGTTAAAATATGCAGGGGTGAATGAGTAAATTTAAACTCCATCTGTCTGGAAAACTCACATCACATCATGCTATTTTCCGAACTGAAATAATTCTACCACATTCTTTGACTAAAAGCTACAACTTTATCATATAGCATACATTTCTGATACAAGCTACAACATTACCATATAGCATACATTTCTGATACATAACTTGAGAGTTTTAATTGACAAAACATGTAGTTATGATGAAAGTACATCCATTTGTTAAATTTCGTCAAAATATTTTCAACCTTCTTGAAGTTATGTCCCTTACAACAAGCATTACACTGATTTAACCTATGACCCCTTGATGACCTAGCACTTAGACCTCAACCACGCTGCATCCATAATTGTGTCTCCTTTTTTGTAATTTTTTTTTGCTTAATTAATTTCATGGTAAAAAGTTTCAAATTGTGAAGCCCTTTGACTCAAATCTCACATTTGTCACCATTTTACATGCCTTTTATAAATCAATGTGATTTACTTTTTTATAAGAATCAAATGTAATAAGAATTTATTACCTTATTGAGTTCATTTAGAGAGGTTAAAATATAAAACTTACGTTTTGCGTATCCGTCGTGTGGGTATATTCCTCTGTTGTAAACGTCCATGATGTAGACTCGGTCGTCCGTCATAAAATCTCTCTCGTGGCCATTTCCCTGAAAGTGTATTATGTAAGCACATTTATTCTCCAGGCTTCTATAGTAAAAACGAAAATTTAAACTGATCATTCACAGTTTGTTTCCAGAGTATGTCCAGTATGGCATACCAATGTAAAACTGTACTGATATTGGTGATTACAAAAATTGTTAAAATGGTAATATGTGGCGAAAATTTCAGATCAAACAGTGAAGAATCTCTTCAAGAATTAGCCCAGTATAATTTACCTGATGAGCATCAAGGTCAACGATCATGACCTTGGAGACGTTCTCCACTTTATCAAACAAGAATTTGATTGAGAGTGTGAGGTCAGCGTAGGCACAGAACCCGCCTCCTCGGGTGGAGCTACAGTGGTGGAACCCGCCCCCAATGTTGACTGCCCACCCTCGGTCCATGGCAAGTTTTCCTGCCTGAAATAGAAACAAGATATTGAGTCTGTAACAGATACACTCCTGTCGATATAGGTCAGTAGAACATAAATCATGATAGATTCTCAGTACAGCACACATACCAGTATAGTACCTCCAGTTTGGTACCGGAAAGGCCTCAGAACTTTACGTTGTACGATGAAGTTTGGGATGAGGGCCACAGGGGGAACCTCTGTGATACTGGCCACATTGACACTCCACTACAAAGAGACAAGGACACACTTGTAGGATGGATAGAATTGTGATAGATAACACTTCAATAGATGTTAATTTGTATTTTAAAAGTATCCCAGGGGAAATATGTACAATTCATTGTAAATTATATGCTTTGAGTATTTATTTTCATGTTAATTGACAAGGAGATAAATGGATCGTACTTTGGAACATTATGAGAATGTTCATTCTGAAACAAGTAAACAATGGAATTTTAACTGTCTGTTAATAAAGCATTATATAAGAAATAAGAATTTTTCTCAAAAGTATTAACAGATATATGGAGATAAAATGGAGTTATCAGTAAATTATTTTCCTCTCACATGTATTTTTTTTCACAAACTATGTAGGCCTGTAGGTTTTATTAACAAATACTTGAGAGGATGCTGTTTCCAAATTGGTATTGTTTATTTATGGAATTGTTCTTTGAGGAATATCTAATTTCACAAATAAGTCTCCGTGAGAATTAATGTGACAAATTAATCTTTTGTGAAAGTTAAGTGATAAACAATAACACATGTATCTTTATGACTTCTACTATCTAGAGATGAAGCAAAATACAAATCACCAGACTAAAATTACATTTCAACAGCATTTATACATTATTATCAATTCAAAAGTTGAACAATATCTGATAAACATCGAATTTAGAAGTTATATAGTACTAGAAGTTACAAGTGTGACAACATCACTCATTCAACCTTTACACATAAATCAGGGATAAAAGAGAAGAAAATCAGATACATTTTAAATAAAAATAAAGCAATGTTTCTATTTCTGAATTTAATATTACAATACGTAGTATTGTTTAACCTCAATCTTCTATCGTTATATTTAGACAAGAGGCCCATGGGCCTTAACGGTCACCTGATATATTTATACAAAGAGTTGATTTTGTTTTTACCCGAAATATTATTCAAAGTGACAAAAAACGATAAAACCACCTTATTCAATATCTAGCATACAGATTTCAGACTAAAAAATATTTGAAACTAGCACCTCTGATTCTAAACAAGGAAAATGAAGAAATTTTAGCACACTGACTCCTTTGAGCCCCACCCTACAGCCCTTGGGGGTAGGGCTGGCTCAAAATTTTCAAAGTATCAAACTGTCAACTCAAGGTTATAATTCCAATCAAGTTATTAACATGTAATATTCAAAGTATCAT